TATAGCTAACACACATTTCCTAAGAAACTTTCCATAAGAGCCAAGTCATGCATGGTTGGGAGACATATGGCTCTATTCTTTTGAACCTTAAAATTGGGTCTAGCTCCTTTATAAAGGTAGATGTTTTAACGCCTTGCTTATTTTTCTGTCGTTTTTATCCGTAGCAATTTTACTTAAAGATACATTATGGGAGATAAGATAAAGAGATGGCAGTTCTCGCTATAATAGTTAAAAACTAGATAGTGTAAAGGTAATTTGCTGAAAATTTCAGTCAAATTGATCCACTATGAGCCGAGAAAGAAGCGGGTGATATTTTTGCATAGTTTCGGTCAATATTACTAAAATCATTAATATAAACAGCATAGTCTCGATTATTCACTTTTATTGATTTAATTATCAATAGCCGTTAGCGGCATATAGGAATCAAATCCAACCAACATCGAAGGCTAGCCTTGACATCGAGAGTTTATTATGGTCTGGATAAGTTAATTAATGTCTAATTGGTAATTTAGATAACATTTCAGGCCTAAAGAAAGACTTGTAATAAGCAGATTTTGCTCTTGCATAATGCATGTTTAACATCTAACATGTTTTTTTTATAAAGTTCTTACGTGTGAATAGTAGACAGCGCCTAAAATTGATGCAGTTTCATTCATCTTGCGGCATCTTTCATTGATCTAATTAAAACCCGACAAAATCTCGTGTATAACACAGCTGACTAAACGTTAACCGCTTTGTATATATGTTAGATCTTCTATAATGCAGAGACAACAAACCATAAGGACGAACATAAATTAAAGACATTCTCTTTACCTGGGTCTGTGATGAGGGTGAACGGGGTATTTGGAACCAAAACCAATGACGTAACTCATTTTATAATTATTATCTCCCAGGATATAGTTGATTTGACTCAAAGCCCATTGACGATTTTCTGTAGCATCAATACCCAGGTCTGCTGCCCATATGGCAGCATATGCTGCATTGGCTGTAAACAAACAGTTAATGGCTGAAGATAAAATCTGTAGTTGATAAAAACTTTTTACAAAATAAAAATTACTGAGTAACCGACAAGGGCCATGTTTCTCGAAATCTTAACTAAAGATAATATCCAAATTTTAGTTGATACTTCAATTTTGATTGGCTAAGCACTAAAATCAATCTAATATTATCCAATCAAATTACTAAAATCTGGATTTTATCTTAGTTAAAATTTCGTTAAACAGGCCCCAGGCCTATATTACCTCTCTCCTACTTGACAAATTTACCAGCGGCAGCCAGGCAAGATACGCCCACATTTTGCAAAAGATGGATAGAGAACACGCTAAACAAAACGCGATTTTTCGTACATTCAAGGGCTATAATTCAGGAAGCTACGATCCGATATGCGTGGGTTACAAACATGTATTTAAAGTTTCATTAAAATCGGATCAAAATTGTGACTTCCAGAGGGTCAACAACCTTGATATACCATATATTTACACTATTTGCGTACGAGGGGCGGCCATTTTGTCCGGCCGTTTTGGTCCAATTTTCACGAAATTCGAACTCAGCCGTCACTGGGGTGTAACAGTGATATTTAAACGTTGTTTTTTTTTCAATTGGATAATAATTGTGACCTCTAGAGGGACCACAAACTAAAAACGAGATTTTTTGAACAATCAATTAGGGTCATAATTCAGGAAGTTACGATCCTATATGCGCGAATATCGAAAGGAACTAAGATCGTTGGGTTAAAATTATCTATTTCAAGTTTCATCAAAATCGGATCAACATTATGACCTTAGGGGTTCCACAACATTGATATACCATATTTTTACACTATTTGCGTACGAGGGGCGGTCATTTTGTCCGGCAGTTTAGGCCCGATTTTCACGGAATTCGAACTCACGCGCCGTTACAGTGTAACGGTGATATTTAAACGTTGTTTTTTTTTTCAATTGGATAATAATTGTGACCTCTAGAGGGACCACAAACTAAAAACGAGATTTTTTGAACAATCAAGGGTCATAATTCAGGAAGTTACGATCCTATATGCGCGAATATCGAAAGGAACTAAGATCGTTGGGTTAAAAATATATATTTCAAGTTTCATCAAAATCGGATCAACATTATCACCTTAGGGGGTCCACAACCTTGATATACCATATTTTTACACTATTTGCGTACGAGGGACGGCCATTTTGTCCGGCAGTTTTGGCCCGATTTTCACGAAATTCGAACTCACGCGCCGTTACAGTGTAACGGTGATATATTCGAACGTTTTTTTTATAAATCGGATAATAATGGTGACCTCTAGAGGGACCACAAGCTAAAAACGCGACTTTACGTACAATCAAGGGCCATCATCTAGGAATTTACTTTCTGATGTGCGCGATTATCGAAAGGAACCGAGATCTTTGTGATGTAAACATAAATTTAAAGTTTCATCAAAACTGGATCAAAATTGTAACCTCTAGAGTGTAACCTCTAGAAGTTATGGTCCGATATATGCCGATATCGAAAGGAAATGAAATGAAATGGGGTTTAACGTTCTACTGTTCTTCTCCTAACTTGGGCCAATGAAGACGGATATCGAAAGGAACCGAGATCTGTGGGAAATAGACCTATATTGTAAGTTTTGTCAAAATAGAATAAAAATTGTGACTTTTAGGTGGACGGACAGTCAGACGGATGGGCGTATAAAAATGAACAGCGTTGAACAATATTGAGGGGTCTTTCAAATTGGGTTAAAATACCCGATAAAACAGTTTAAGGAACAAGCTCTTACCGGCAAGCCGGCAACTCCCCCATCTATCAAAATATGCCAAACCACATGGCGAGTACGGCGTGGAACTACCAGGCTTCCATTTCATTAGGAAATTCTGTATTTCAACTTTATAACTATCGTCACGGGTTAATTCATACAACATTAACTGGAATAAAACAATCGTCATGAGTTGTTAATTCATACATCAGCTAGCATATAACAATCGTCATGAGTTAATTCATACATTAACTAAAATATAACAATCATCATGAGTTAATTCATACATCAACTAGAATATAACAATCGTCATGAGTTAATTCATACATCAACTAGAATATAACAATCGTTGTGAGTTAATGCATACAACATCAACTAGAATATAATAATCGTCATGAGTTAATTCATAAAATTAACAGCATTTAACAATTGTCATGAGTTAATTCATAAAATTAACAGCATTTAACAATTGTCATGAGTTAATTCAAATAACACCAACTAGAACATGCAATCGCCATATTAGTTCCAAGATCATAAATAAGTTAGACGCCATTTAATCCAACGGAAATAAATGACCTATAGAGGAAAATAGAGATACTGGCTGGTCATCTATCTTTTTGGTTTTCATAAACACATCATATCTGTTCATGTTTCATATTGATTGTGATTGCACTTTAAATGGTAATTTAAACGTCATTATTCATATAGCATATTCATCTAAAGTTATTATTTATATAGTATATTCACCTAACGTTATTATTCATATAGCATATATTCACCTAACGTTATTATTCATATAGTACATTCACCTAACGTTATTATTCATATAGTATATTCACCTAACGTTATTATTCATATAGAATATTCACCCAACGTTATTATTCATATAGTATATTCACCTAACGTTATTATTCATATAGCATATATTCACCTAACGTTATTATTCATATAGTACATGGGGGGGGGGGGATGGCTGAATGGTTAGCGTGCGCGCGCTGTATCATAAAGTCTGCCATTGAGTCGACTGGCGTGGTTTCGAATCCTCGGTTTTCTATGGCAATGTGTAGGGTCGCCTGTCCAACCTCGTGGGTTTTCTCCGGGTCCTCCGGTTTCCTCCCACTGCTAAAGACCCCTAAGCGCAAGCGAATTATTGAAATAAAATTAAACCATATGTTAGTCCCGAAATGACCTAGTTTGTGTCGAGTGGACGTTAAACCCCATTTCTCTCTTTCTCTCTCTCTCTCATATCGTACATTCACCTAACGTTATTATTCACCTAACGTTATTATTCAAATATGACATATTCGCCTAAGGTTATTTTTCATATAGCATATTCACCTAACGTTATTATTCATATAGTATATTCACCTAACGTTATTATTCAAATAGCATAAAACAATTATATTACAGAAGAACAGATATTTGGCAAAAAGTAGTCCCGGCATCATGTTACCAGGAGAGTCACCGGTCAAGTTACTGATAATCTGAAGGTCAGTGCCGCCCAGTTCTTACCTGACATGCTGCCAAACCATTATTCCAGTCTAAACTGTGAGGAGCTTTGGTTTTATGATACAATTTGGCATCGTTCAAATACGTCTGATTACCAGTAGCCTTGAACATCCAGGCACCAGCTAAACATAGTTCATCAGTATAATCATCCGAACTAAAATTAAGATTTTTATTATCAAACAAAAAGACGATTTTATTGATAATAATAACATAAAGGGCTGGTAATGTTATTTTTCTTCACAAACATAACAAACTATATGTTTTTCTTATATAAACAAATACGATATAAAAATAAAGAAATAACAAAATATACGATTTTATTAATAAAAATAACATAAAACGATATGTAATAAAAAAAAATAAGAAATAAAATATATTTTTTATATGAAAAAATAACAAAAAATTTTTTTTGTATGAAAAAGGATCCCAATAAATCTTTACGTAGAGAAATAGCAATATTTTTTTTATATAAAAACAATAACAATAACTTTACTACACACAGAAACAACAATAAAGGTTTTATATAAAACAGAAACAAAAACAAAGGTTTATATAAAACAAATAAAAATAAGTTTTTGTATGTAATAAGATAACTATAAATACTATATTTAATAAAATACGACTTATATGGAGAAAAAGAAGAAAATGATAAAAAAAAAATAACATTTCTATTAACAAAAATAAAATTTGTTTAACAATATGTCCAACGGGTATTTTATGATTTTAAAAAAAGAAGTAAGTTTATTACTTATAAAATTTAGAAGAAGGCATAATTCCTTTATAGTTGACCGCAAATTTGTACAGTGATTTAGCAGCTTCAAGAAGTTGCGCAGAATAAGCTGGATCTGGAAAACAATGAAAATGGATAAATAGCGGAAGTGCGTATGAAAAGTCATTAGTGTCAAACAAATATGACGTCAAAAATATAGTAAGTATGTATGAAGGCCCATTAGTGCCAAACAAAATTCCTCTGGAATTAAGACTTTTAAAATCAAAGCAAACCTTCAAATCCCATCTCAAAATATTTATGATCCGATATCATATGTAAAAGAAATAATAAGTGATAACTCTGGAACTAGCAACGCATTAGAAACTTTGGAATTACTTTATTCCTTTTATCATTAAAAAAAATCTTAAACATGTTCTAACAATTAATTATCTCGCTTCATTCAACGGATTACTGCCATGTTTATTTTCAACGATTTGATTATAGATTTGTTGCTGTTTATTACACAATAAACGTCCAATAGATTATATATGATATTATTGACAGGTTGATTTGTTGTTTATAACATAATTAACGTCCATTACATTATATATGATATTATGGACAGGTTTATTAAATTAAGATTATATAAAACATAGGGTAAAACATGTTTTTTCTTTTGTATATAGAAATGTCATATGCTAAAATTCGCTGTCGTGAAAAGAGAGGGTGTGTCATCTTCTCCATTCGTCATAATAAAACGTTAAAACGGTAATGGGAAAACCTTGTGTTACCTCTATAGAAGATAGCTATATAACCGTTTACCTCTAAGATAGCTATATAACCGTTTACCTCTATAGAAGATAGCTATCATTTTACCTCTATAGAAGATAGCTATGTAACTGTTTACCGCTATAGAAGTGATGGTTGACCTTGTATCTCTATAGCAGATGGCTGCATTTTACCTCTATAGAATATGGCTGACCTTGTACCTCTGTAGAAGATGGCTGACCTTTATGTTCACGTGCATTAAAAGATCTACGAGCGGTGTCTTCATTTTCGTTATGATTTAAAACGTTGTTTTAGAATTTAATTTTCAGAAGACAAAAGGTTGATGTTGAGAGTTAATTAACTCGCCCCGACCGTTCCTGGAGTTTTACGTCCATTTCCAACGGGGGTCATATCGTAGACATGTCGCCCCGATGTCATCCATATTAGTAATTGTAGCAGCCATGCGAATATTTACTACTGGTCAGTTTGGAGGTACAGCTGATTGATGTGAATTTTAGAATTGTTTTACCTGTTTTCTTAAAGGCGATGGAACCCGCAGCAAAATCTGCCGCCGTTTGCCCAGCTACGTCACTTCCTGGATTAGATGAAGATAGAGAGAAAGCTGGTCGAGCCATCGTCATATCTTCAGGTCTACCCCAGAATTTATGATCTATATCACCATCGCCAACCTAATGTCAAAGTTTAATTTCATGAATTTATATTCGATCGGGCAACACTAACCTATTGTCAAAGTTTAATTTCATGAAATTATATTCGATCGGGGGTCACGGTGGCTCGGTGAGTAAGAAGTTGGCTCGATAACCTGATAAAGTTCATCAGGATTTTCCGGTGTGGTTCCACCTTGTCAGTGGTGCAATGGATAACGTATAGTCATTCGGATGGGACGAAAACCCGAGATACCGTGTACACATTGGCGTGCACGTCATAGATCCCTTGGCAGATGGAATTCGATTTAGGAGTCGGACGTAGAGCCACTGTCCGGGCAAAATGTCTCTCAGTGCTGAACACTAGGGCGTTAAACCCCATTTCATTTCACTTCATTATATATTAGATCGGTTTCAGGGCTGTTGGGTAGGCTGTTCACATTTAAACAAAACTTCGTCACTATAAATAGTATTATTCCCAATAAAAATGAAAAATCCGATGCTGAACAACAACTGGTTCCCATCCCCACTATACATACATGTATGTATAAAACAAATACTAGCTAACAGCATAGACACGGTCAACTAGACAGCCCTTACGTACGAATAGGAAATAGGGTTTTCTATATACCATAAAACGCGCCTGGTGTTCAGGTCTGCCTAGTGTTGTAACAATTGAATAAAGGTATTTTACCTGATAATAGTAAATTTGTTTTGACGGAATCCAACATTTAAGGAAATAATCTAATTCCCATTTAACCGAATCTAAGGCCATGTTGATTTGTCCTAGAGCTGTATAAGTATCGTACCATCTCACTATACCATTTAATAAAACACGCACAGCTGATGAACCGGGAAGATTAAACTTGACCAAATCACCAGCTACAATTAAAACATATCAATCTGTATTTAATAATCAAACAACAGAGACTCTCTCTCTCTCTATCCCCCTCCCTCTCTCTTTCCCTCCCTCTGTCTCTCTCTCTCTCTCTCTCATCTATATAATTACTTACCATCATACCAGCCACCAGATAAATCCTCTCCATGATCCCCCTGATCGTTGACGGCTGAATTCCCCCGCCAGGGTATGGGGTTATTAGCAGGTAGTTTACCAGATCGTTGAGCATCGTAAAATAAGATGGATTTAGTTACAACTTCACCATAATCATACTTGGCTTTAGAACAAACACTCGCTGTAATTATATCATTTTGTTTAAATGACATTGAATATTAAAGCTGGGAATACACAACTGTATGGAATATAAACACTGTTCATTAGTAGGGGTCTCTCGATTTTATCATCACTATTATAGGGTAACGTCGCGCATTAATAAATAGTAGTTGTATTCCGTATAGAATCGTGTCCTGAAAAAAATCCGCCACTAGGTAAACCAGCAGTTGTCAGGCACGATACGCCCACATTTTGCAAGACATGCATAGAGAACAGGTGATTTTTCATACAATCAGGGGTCATAATCTAGAAAGTTATGGTCTGAAGTTTCATCAAAATCGGATAAAAATTGTGACCTCTAGAGGGTCCCCAACCCTCGTATTACATACTTTAACACAATTTGCGTACAAATAGCGGCCATTTTTTCTGGCAGTTTTATTTGGATTTTCCCGAAATTCGAATTCAACCTTCATTATGATTTTTCGTACAATCAGGAGCCATAGTCCATGAAGTTATGATCCCATGCATGCCAATATCGAAAGGGACTAAAATTGTGGCCTGTAGAGTGTCCACATACAAATGTGAACGGACACACGAACGGACGGGCGGGGACGTCGAAAATATACGTCCACATGAAAATGTTGGCGTATAGAAATAAGAAACGGTAGTTGCCTTCCATATAGATTTATTTATATCCTGTTAAATTCCGTCACTTGGTAACAATTATATAATTAGATAATTGCTTTAAACTTATCAACACAATGATATCTTTTTCAAATGACATGAAATGAAATTGAGTTTAACCAGACTAATCCTGACCTCGATACACGCCAATCGGTGTGATATATCGAAACTTTTGCCCAGGCAGTGCCGTTTAGACAACTTCTTCATTGAATACAATGATCAGCTTTCATAAGGAGAATATGGTTATAGAGTTTTATGATTTTCAAATATTTTAAAAGGACGAAATATTATTTAAGATAATTGAATTCTTACCTGTAGCCACCATATAGAACATGGACGTTAAGGCCACCAGAACTTTCATCCTGCCTGAACTGTCCAAGAAAGTAAAATGTATGTCAATGGTCGCTGATTACTCAAATAAGCTCGGAACTTTTAGAATTTAATTTTGACCATTGATATTGTGGACACAATCAATAATTATTCCAGAAGAGCAATGATCCTGTTTTAAGTATACGTGTATGTTAAGAAACGTCTACAAATGGGCCTGTATTTGATATATGTAAATATAAATATACCTTCATTTGCAGGTAAAGACCCCCTAGATTATATATTAGACTTACCTGTGGGCGTGGATCTGTGTGTTTAAAAATTCACAACAATCTACAGATGGCGATCTACTGCCTTATCTGTTCTTGTCTTTATCTATGTCTGATATATATAGAGAGATTCATTTGACCTCGTATTATTTTAGAATGTCTATGATCGTCTCTACAGGCACTTCTTTATTCTTGCACCTGTTATCTCACGTCTCGTCCTGTTATCTATTGTCTTCTGTACATATATATAAAAACCTAATTATCCCTTTTTTGCCACTGTAAATATTTCATTATGTACATATGAGATGTAATTGTCTGCAATATCACCTCGGTGGAAGCGGACGTTAAATAAAGCTATTTCACACACACACACACACACACCCACACACATACATTGTTTTTAATTCATAGCGCCTTCGGTATAAAACTGTTCTACTTTTTATTCTTAACCGTCAACCACACCGTGTGAAAGAACACCCTCCTACAAGCCGCAACGTGACAACTTAAAGAACAGCCTGCTACAAGCCGTACCGTGTCAACTTAAAGAACAACCTCCTACAAGCCGCACCGTGTCAACTTAAAGAACAACCCAATACAAGCCTTGCCATGTCAACTTAAAGAACAACATCCTTCAAGCCGCATCGTGTCAACTTAAAGAACAACCCAATACAAGCCGCGCCATGTCAACTTAAAGAACAACCCAATACAAGCCGCGTCGTGCCAACTTAAAGAACAGCCTAATACAAACCGTACCGTGTAAACTTAAAGAACACCCTCCTGCAAGCCGCTCCGTGTCAACTTAAAGAACAACCGAATACAAGCCGCACCGTGTGAACTTAAAGAACAACCTCGTACAAGCCGCACCGTGTCAACTTAAAGAACAACCCCCGATAAGCCGCGCCGTTTCAACTTAAAGAACAACATCCTACAAGCCGCATCGTGTCAACTTAAAGACCAACCCAATACAAGCCGCTCCGTGTCAAATTAAAGAACAACCTCCTACAAGCCGCATGGTGTCAACTTAAAGAACACCCTCGTAGAAGCCGCATCGTGTCAACAAGCTAATACAAGCCAATACAAGCCGCGCCGTGTCAACTTAAAGAGCAATGTAATATATCAATCCATATAATACACCAATCGGGTGCGTGTTTAAGATTTTTAGCAGTCGGCTGGAGGGGGGATCTAGGTATTATCCGATATACTTGTATAAAATCGGAAGCTCTGGGACAATATATCTGTTCATTTAAGTGTATACACATATCAGGCTAGAGTGGTATTTCAATAAATGTAGGGGACAGATATAATCTGTGCGAGCAAGAGAGGGTCCGGGGACCCCAAAGCACCTCCGATCCCAATAGCGAGTAGTCCAATATATTGTTTAACTCTTGGGGTGAAAAACACCACAGACTCAAAACATTCTATATAGTGGAAAATCTTGTCGAAATTCTTGTGAACTGTGGTACCGCACAGGCATATAAGGGGAATCTTGTGGAACTCTTGTGGTAAAAACCACCACAGACCACCTTATGAAAATCATCCTAACTTGAAAATGTCGTAGAACTCTTGTGGTGAAAAATTCCACAAAAAGTCCTTAAACCTTGCCATAAATGTAAAATACAGCTATTTCAAACTCATAAAATTCCTCATAATATTGTAATCAAATATGGCCATGGTTAATTAGCTTTTGACGACGAGCCTGTCGCTTTTTATTTTATATATACCACCAACGATCTACGTAGAAATATAATATCAATTTATTTACATCATAATTCAAAGAATATCAAAAGTAATGATCACAAAAATACAATTTCCATTGAAACATCAAGCTTCTATTTACAAAATATCACAGATTAGCTGAAGTCGATAGAAATTATTATATTTCTTAATACACATATACAAACCTTATATACAAAATATTCTTAATGTCCTTAATTCAATAACTCAAAAACTATCAACAATTTTATCACAGAATTGCTTTGGATTTTGTATATAAATTTATATACACTCATAGATATTATATGCTATATACACTATAAAAGTAAAAACACGAAAGTTTGTCGAAATTTAAAGCCTATGGTAAAACCAAAGAGGCCTTTAATCCTTTCTAAACGCACCAAATATCAGTCCAAACGCCTCACAACATGGATCACAACAGCAGTGGACACATAGAGCCCAGAATTTCTGTAAACATCCGCAATTAATCTCCAGAACTTTGAATAAAGGAGTGACGAACCACACGTGGGTAAAGGCTATTCTAGCAAATTCACATCCCCATTCAGCAGCAATACACATACCACAACACAAGGTGGCGAGTTTATAGAAGAAATTTTTCCATATATTGAAACAGAAGAATGAAGCTCTCCAAACACAATCTATACTGTGAGCTCCTTCAGGTTCAGCTAAAACATCCTCAAATTGAACCTGAATAATAAAGAAAACATGGTCTTAAAGGCATTGCTTTCCACTAGTTTCAAAGATCTCTGTTTATATAGACAGTTTAGACTTATTGGTCTATTATCGAAAAGCCAGTCTCCATAGAATGTGCTATATTTGACACCAAAGATTGCGTTAAATTAGGAAATATTGAAACGGAAAGGCGGATAAGCGATAGGCACCGCGGAATAGTGGAAACATTGACAAATCCTAAATACAAAAAGAGTTACATGTTCAAGATTTAATGCATAAAAGTTGAAGACCGAATAGCTTATGAGCAACTGTACAATCAACCGGAATCGATATCTTGCCAGCATTTAGCGTGGGCCCCTTGCATATATTACTTTCCTTACTGGGTTCATCCAGCACTGGACTGGTCTACTCTTCCCAGAACATCTAATGTCACTTATCACATATAAAATAGTAAAAACTTACTCCAACAAAGTCGTTGATATTGTTAGGATCTCTGTTAACCATATCCAGATCAGCCATTTTGATGTCAAGTAGGTAGTCGTGGGGTTACAGGTAAAACTCAGGTAGAAATGAAAGGTAAATGATGATATGATTATTGGTATCACGAAATATATACCTTTTAACACACAACACGTGATACACACGTCTCCCTAACAACCACAACTCTACTTTCAATTTGTGTCCATAACACTATAACGTTGGATTAAAACTTTTGGTTTAGCTTTCGTAACGGTCTCCATAACGACCACGTGTTCGAGGTTAAATGAAGCATATTCAATGCGAATTATCAGATCTTTTGTGTACGTGTTAACGAAATGATCAAAATAATCTACAATCTAAAAGGGACATGTTGTTGAGGTATATTTCGGGCTCGACGTAGCTATAAATAATGGCGGATGTATGAAACTTGATTCCACTTAATAAATTTTATGTATGTGATATGTTGTTTCAATTGGTGGTGCGACCAGGGCCCTGTGTCTCGAAATCTTAACTAAAAATAAAATC